ATAGTGCTTCTTTGCATTTATATAGTTGTTAGAATGTCGTTACATGTCGACAGATATGCGATCCAATTTTCAAATGACCTAAAGGAAAATAAAGAAGCAAAAGCAAACAACAAAAATCAACAGATTAATAGTCAGCATAAAATAACCAAAACTCAACTGTAATAAAACAAATAAATAGATTTTTAAAACTTTTAAAAAATAGTAATAATTTATTTCAAATATGAGTTAAGATTTTATTTGTAACTTTTGTTTTAGTTAATTGGTAAAAGTTAAATAATTGAAAGAAAAAATTGTTTTTATGGTTTTTAGCGCGGTTTAAAAAAAAAATGCGGTACTTCAAATTACTATAGTGACGCAATTTACCTTTAATGTAAACTAAGTTTTACTTTAAATTGCGTTAAGCATTTTCGTCAAAAACAAAAAAAAAACTCGTCAAAAACAAAAAAAAGGTTTTTAAAATGACTTTTTCGTTGCTTCAATTTATTTATATATATATATATATATATATATATATATATATATATATATATATATATATATTATATATTAATTATTATATTATATATAATATATTAATATTATATTATATTATAATATATATATTAATATATATATATATGATTTATTATGTTATTTATAATATATATATATATATATTATAATATACAATATTTGCTTCAATTTCACTTTTTAATTGACTATTATTAACCAGCAAGATAAAAAAACAAAAATCAATCAAAAGAACCCAAAAAATTATTTGTGAACAAAATTTTGTGTGCTTATACTTTTTAAATGTATTTCACACTTTTTTAGATCATTAGTCATTAATTAATTCTAATTTAATTATGGGAAAAAAACAAGCTTAACAAATATTTGAAACTTTATATATTTTATTTGGTCTCAACTTTTATTAAATAAAAAAACTAAAATTAATTTGAGTTCTAAATTTGAAGTTGACAATAAAAAAAAAGTTACAAGTGCACTAATACTTTCTGGAAGCACTGTATATATATATATATATATATATATATATATATATATATATATATATATATATATATATATATATATATATATATATATATATATATATATATATTTATATATATATATATATATATATATATATATATATATTTATATATATATATATATATATATATATATATATATATATATATATATATATATATATATATATATATATAAAGGCCTCGGCTATTGCCCAAACTCCCCTGAAACGGTTTACGAGAGCTATTTACGGCTCTCGCAAAAGAATAATTTTTCTCATAAAAGTATAATTATCATTTTAAATAAAATAAAAAACACAATGTCATTTAAAAAAATTAATTGCATAATATACTGAAATGCTTTTTAAAAGGAACGGTTGTTGCAAAAAAAAAAAATTAATTAAAAAAGAGTGATGATTTAAATGAGGAGCAGCTCGCACAGCTTCCCAAGTTTGTTATATATATATATATATATATATATATATATATATATATATATATATATATATATATATATATATATATATATATATATATATATATATATATATATATATATATATATATATATATATATATATATATATATATATATATATATATATATATATATATATATATATATCAGGCCTTGTTAAGAAACGTTTCCATATTGAATGTCCACATTCACGATTTCACGTACATGTTTTCGCAATTTACTTTACGCAAAAGCTTTTTTCAATAAGTTTATTAAAAAAAATTTTTTTAATAAAAATTTAAATTGTCTTTTAAAAAAGATAATGCAGAAAACATTAAACTGTAGTTAATTGTTGTAAAAAAACGTTTATGGAATACTTTTTTATTAGATAAAAAAACAGATAGACATCTTTTCCGTTTTTAAAAAATATATATATTTAATTTATTTTATTAAATTTAAATTAATTTTATTATTATTCATAGTTTTAGTAATTTATTTGATTAAATTTATTTAAAAATTGCAAAAACACTCTGTTTTACAATTTTTTTTTACTGGTAAAATTTCCGAAATTTATGTTAAAATAAAAAAAAAAAGTAATAAATTTAATTCAAGTTACTTTAAAATGTTCCAATTACATATAACTTCATTTTAAGTTCAGTTAAGTTTCAAGTAAGTTCCATTTCCAAATAGGGGTCGTCCATAAAGTATGTACCCTTTTTTGTCTGAATAATGCGCTTTTGTAGTTAATAAATGACATCAATACAAAAAAGTTCTTTTAAACTCGAATTTAAATGTTATGTTTGGGTTTTCCCTTTTTTCTTAAATTTTATTTAGAAGAATTTTTTTTATTAAAAACGAACCAAACTTTAAACCAATTAAAAATAACGCGATCAATAAATAAACTCTTTAAATGCATAATTATATTTATTTTATTTTAAAGACAAAACTTATACATTTTTTTTGGATTTAGAAAAAATTAGTAAAAATACATTAGGTTTCATGGTATATAAAAATAAAATATTTTAATGGAAATAAAAAAAAACCTAAAAGTGGTAATCTTTGTTTAATTACAATTTTTATTTTATCAAAAGCCAGTAAGCACAAAGGTTTTTTTAAAAAGGGTAAAACCCAATCTAATTGTGAGGTAAGTACACCTAAATCCCTTAAAGAAAATAAACCATAAACGAGTGTCCCCTCATTTTAGAAAAATAACCATAAAAAGAATGTTATAAAGAAAAAAAAATTAAGTTTAAATAAGTATAAGATATAAAATAAGGAAATTTTTTTTAATCATTATTAAAATTTTAATAATAACTTTTTTTATAACAATATTGGTTAATTTAAAGATATTTCTTTTAAAAGAGAAAATTTTTTTAAAAAAAATTTACAATAATTTCAAATGTGTTTTTGAATTTAAGGTATTTTAAAATATGCAACTGACGCAATTAAACTTTTAACGATGTAAATATCTTTATCTAATGAAGTTACATTTATTCATGTTGCGATTTTACGTTACACAACAAAATCTCATAACAAGGCTTTATATATATATATATATATATATATATATATATATATATATATATATATATATATATATATATATATATATAAAAATATATATATATATATATATATATATATATATATATATATACAGGGCCGGCCATCTAACGTTTATTTTTTCAACTAGTGTTTATTTCGTGAATGGTAACACTTAGCTCATGTCTGATTTCACAGATAATTAGTTTTATCCTTTCGCTGAACGAATATGGTTGTGTATACGCTTGAACAACGCTGGGAAATATTGCGACATTACTTTGAAAATCATGGTAATGTGTGCGAAAATTGTGTACGGATTTTGGAAAAGGAGAAGCACCGTCAGCTCTGTATGTTTGTTATCTTGTGAAAAAAATGAAAGAACCTGGCATTCTCATCGATAAACCAAAGCGTGAAAAGCCAAAAACAGTGCGTACACCCGAGAATATTGCTGGTGTGGCAGAAAGTGTGTGTGAAGCGCCATCAACATCAGTTCACTGTCGTTCTCAACAGTTGAATATTTTGGAGACATCATAGAGACGAATTTTGCATAAAGACCTTGGTATGACGCCATACAAAGTCCAATTGGTTCAGAAGTTGAAGCCAACTGACCATCCAATACGTTTTTGCTTCGCTGAGTGGGACTGCGATCGACTTACAGAAGATGCCAATTTTGCAAAAAAATCATCTTTTCAGATGAAGCTCATTTTGATCTTGGCGAGTATGTAAACAAGCAAAATTGTCGCATTTGGGGCACAGAAAACCCGCACGCATACATTGAAAAGCCGATACACCCAAAACGAGTCACTGTTTAGAGCAGATTTTAGTCCATAGGCATAATTGGGCCATTTTTCTTCGAAAATAAGCAAGGAGTGTCCGTTACAGTCAATGGCGATTGTTATCGGACCATGTTGAACAAACTTTTGTGCACAAAAATTTAAGAGGAGGATATTGGCAACATTTGGTTACAACAGGACGGCGCTACGTGCCACACAGCCGAAGCTACACTCGATGTTTTACGCCCTGTTTTTGAAGATCGCATTATCAGCTGCAGAGCTGTCGTTTGGCCACCTCAAAGCTGCGATTTGATACCGTTTGACTATTATTTGTGGGATGCCTCACAGATAAGTGTTACGCCCACAAGCCAGAGACAATTGACGCTTTAAAAGACAATATTTGTGAAGCCATTGAGAAAATACGACTGCACACAATCGATAATGTGCTTAAAAATTGGACCGATCGTGTAGGCTACTGCATGGCCAGCCAAGGCAGCCGTTTGAATGAAATTATTTTCCATTATTAACCGGAAGGATTGTACTTTCAAATAAAAAAAGAAATTTGAGAAAATATTCAGTAGTTTTTTTTTTTATAGCATTTTCAAAAAAAAAAAGTTATTTGGCGGACCCTATACATAAACATATATTTAAATGTATATATATATATATATATATATATATATATATATATATATATACATAATTTTTATTAAATTACATTGTGTTTTTTATTTTAGTTAGAAAAATAATTATATTTTCGTAAAAAAAATTATACTTTAGCGAGAGCCATAAATTGCTCCCGTAAACCATTTTAGGGAAGTGTGGGCGAGAGGGAGAGCTAAAGCTCTTGCTTCCCACCGAGGCCTGTATATGTATATATATATATATATATATACATATATATATATATATTTATACATATATATATATACATATACATATATATATATATATACATATATATATATATATATATATATATATATATATATATATATATATATATATATATATATATATATATATATATATATATATATATATATATATATATATATATATATATATATATATATATGTATATATATACACACATATATATGCACATACAATGCTCGGACTTAGGTATATAGATACAACCTTCGAAAAACGAGGTCAGCATCATTTTTTTAGGGTTGTATGTAGATTACATAAAAACAAATAAAAAATTAAACTTACATGTTGGCAAAACTGTTGTTGACTTGTGAACCACAAGAACTCCAGATATCTTTTTAGAATTCATGAGTTTATTCATAACATTTCTAAAACAAGTAAAAGAGTTATAAACACAAAAATTATTTTAATTATTTTTTTTAATAATTTCTCTAACAGTTTATTAAAGACAATTGATATACAAAGAAATTTTAACATGTTACTCATTAAAAAAAGAGGAATTAAGTAAAGGAATATAAGGTTGATTGGTTCCTTTATCAATCAGCCAATCCACATCATCATCACTTTCAACAACATGCAAGATACCACGATTACCACCCATATTTGCTAGAAAAATGAAAAAAGAATTTTTTTTATTAATTTCAATTGATAAATTAATTATATAACTGAATGCGTACCAAGGTAAGCAATCTGACGTCATACTGAAATAGCCTGCTGCTGGGGGCTTCAGTACATACATTGACTGACAAATAGCCTGACTTGCAGTGGAGTGCTGCTATATGGACTGAGGGTTTGGGATGATATATATATATATATATATATATATATATATATATATATATATATATATATATATATATATATATATATATATATATATATATATATATATATATATATATATATATATATATATATATATATATATATTGCCGAACTTATTTTTCCTAATTACGAGGTTGTTTTTTTTGTTTTTTTTTAACATCTTTGTTTCCAACAAGGCTGCAAGCAACCACTAATTAGTAGACAGACAACTTAAAAGATTGCAATTTATATGAATCAGGAAAGCAAGATGAAGGAAGCAAATTCCAAAGAATTGATGTTCGAGGAAAAAAACTAGACGAATAAGAGTTTTTGGAGCACTTAAGAACAGAAACAGAAAAAGGATGAGACTTAATTGAATGACGAGTAACACGAGAATGAATTTTAGCAGATGGCACAAGAGACGATAGCTCTTTAGAGCAGTGCCCATTATAGTATTTGTAGAAAAGAGAAAGAGAAGCAACATTACAACAATGTGACAGAGGTTGAGGGTTGGCTGCAAGGGCTGGTCAAACTATGTTTACAATGCGTTTTTGCACCTTGTCTAAAAGAGAAAGGGCATCATTAGAAGATCCGCCCCAGATATGGCAACAGTATTCCATACAAGGTCGGATTTGAGATTTATAGAGATAGAGAATAGAATTCAGAGTAAGAAAATGTCGAGCTCGATAAAGAGATGCAACTTTAGCAGATGCTAATTTTGCAACGGATTTGATATAAGGTTTCCAAGAAAGATCAGAAGTGAGAGTTAATCCTAGAAGATGAAGGGTATATGACTCATCGAGTACATTACGATTCATAAATGTAGGAAGGTCTAAATTATTGCGGTGGGGATTGGCTGAAAAAAATTGAGTTTTGTCTGAATTAAAGATCGCCAGCCGCTGTGAGCTGTAGCAGAAGTGAGATCCTTTTCAAGCTCAAATGCCCCCTGCAAGCAATCAGAGGGAGTTGGCTTCTTATCGTGACAAGAATAAATGGTAGTATCATCAGCGAACAATTCCACCTTAGATGTGAGAATATCTGGAAGATCGTTAATGTATATTAAAAAGAGTATAGGGCCAAGAATTGAACCTTGAGGAACCCCTGAGGTTACAGAATAAGAAGAAGAGTGCTGTCTATCAAGGACAACTTTTATACTACGATTGGAAAGAAAGTATTCAATAATCTTAAAGATATTTTCAGATCGAAAGAAGAAAGCTTATATAGAAGACCAGCATGCCAAACTTTATCAAACGCTTTAGAAATGTCAAGAGCAATGGCCTTAACCTCTCCGCCTTTATCTAATGCACGATAAAGCCTATCGGTTATTACTATTAGCAAATCAGCAAGTCAGCCGTAGAACGAGAAGATCAAAATCTATATTGATGATCAGAAAGTAGGTTATGAGATTCAAGATAAGAGATAAAGTGTTTGTTAATTAAAGATTCAAAAACCTTGCTTATGATAGGAAGAAGACTAATAGAACGGTAATTAGATGATCGGATCGCTCTCCAGAGTTTTTAAAAATAGGGATAACAGATGTTTTCCAGTAGGCTGGAAAACAAGACTCTGATAAGCACTTTTTAAATTGTTCTGAAAGGATAGACGACAACTCTGGAAAACACTTCTGCAAGACTATAACAGGTATGTTGTCCGGGCCACAAGCTGTAGAAGAGTCTAAGCAGGAAATCACTTTAGATACAGAAGCTGGAGTGATACGGATGTCAAGCAATGGATCAACCTGTTTGACGGCTATATCAGGTAGAACGCAACTAGTGGAGTCAAGAGATGATATTGATGAAAAGTTTTTAGCAAACAATTCAGCTTTGTCTTTAGGTGAGGTGACAAAGTCAGAACCATACAAAGTAGGTGAAATTACAGACTTGCCCTTATTATTGATACTATTAAAGATTCCCCAGAAGTCACGAGAGCCTAACTTTTGTGATGAAATACGAGATTTTATGATCTGAGAACAGCGGGCTTTGGCGTTAGACAAAACCTTTTAACAATGGTTCCTAGCAGTAATAAACAGACGTCTGTTTTCTGGAGAATTGTTTTGTTGATAGATATGGAAGTAATGGTTTGGATTGGCAATTGCAGCAGCACAATGCAAGGAAAACCATGGAGAAGAGTGAGGGTTGATCTGGAATCGTTGAGAGGGAATAAAGGATTCCATGCCAGCCTGAATCCATGAAGTTATGTAAGAAGCAGATTTGTCAATAGGAAGACGAAAGATTCCTACCCAGGGGCCATCACGAAGAAAATCACAGAAAGAGTCCCAGTCAGCTTTAAGGTAGTTGTAAGATGTACAATGATAGGGAGATTCTGATGATAAAGAAGAATAAGATAATAGTTTTAGAGAGACCAAACCATGATCGGATGCACCTAAGGGTGAGTGTGGAGAAACTGAGCACTGACTAGGATCAGAAACAAGATATAAGTCGAGTAGAGAAGGTAAATGAATCGGGTTATCTGGAAAACGAGTTGGAAAGTTGACTATTTGAGTTAGAGATTGAGAGAGACAAGTTGCGGGCCTGCCTGCAGAGTCACTGACACTAGAGCCAAGCCATTCAGTGTGATGAACATTGAAGTCACTGACAACAACAATATTGGCTGATGGATAAAGAGAGAGGACTTGGTCAATATGATCAGAAATAACATCAAGAAGAGTGCAGTCTTGAGATGAGGGAGAGTGATATAGAACAAAGAGAAAGGTGATAGAGTGAAGTGGTGCTAAAAGAAAGCACATAAAAAAGTAGTCTGTGGATTCAAACCTAGTTTGCCGACAAATGGGTGAATTCTTACGAATGTAAATGCCTAGGCCAAGCATGGAACTATTGGAGTCTTTACGAATTAAAGGAAGATAACCATCAACACTAAGATCACAAGATGAGACAGCTGAACTCAAATTAGTCTCACAAAGAGCAAGCAGGTCTGGTGAACTTTGCAAGAGATAAGACTCAACAGAAGAAAAGTTACTTCGAAGACCACGAATATTGGTGAATGATAGGTTTAGCGAAGTTGGTGATGACTGTGGTTTTTTGTGTTTTATAGTTTTTGTTACTTTATTTATTTTTAAATTTGTTAAAGAACTTGACTCGAAACATTGATAGTACTCAGTACACTGTTTTATAGCCCAAGCAATTGCCTCATTTCCATTAATAAACCCTAAGCCGTAACAAAGGGCTCCAATGTGGCCTTGGCAATGGACACCAAAAGTACAAACAGGGACACCATTCATGCGCAACATAGCACTGTTAGTACTTTGATATTTTTCACCTGTTGATGGAATCAGTCTCTGAGTGTTACCACAGAGTTCGGGAAACCTGACTACTAGCCGGCCTCAGAACCATAAAACTGAGTTTTAGAGCTGTACCCTCATTTGGAGATAATAGAATGAGTTGCCTAGTCATAAAAACAGAGACACAAGCAAAACCCATGTCAAGAGGTTCCAGCGTTCAACATCCTAAACTGGAAACAATGTATTAAAAATACATCTGGGCCAGCCTAGTAGATGAAGAAGGGGTGCAAGGCTGGTCAACAGATAGAATCTGTTTATCCCTTAAGTCTTTGCCTAGGAGGCCTTCTACAAGACAATAGCCAGATGCATGTAACATCTGCCCTAGTATTTTTATCGAGACACCATCTCTAATATATTGTATAATATAAATATATATTATATATATAATATATATTTAATTTTTATATTATATAATTTTTATATATAATATATACTTAATTTGTATATATATAATTTTTTTTTTTTTGTTAATTCTCCTCCTAAAGGCCATGAAGGTCACAACAGACGAGAAGGCTACTTATTGTGGTTACAACCCTCTCTCAACTCTGAAACACAAACCATGACGAAGAAGGCGCGGAGAAACAAGTTGAGTGCGGTACTACCAGGGACATTGTGGTGATCAAACTCGGAACCTCTCGCTTATGAAGTGAGCGCTATACCACTACACCACTACACCACTACCGTATATATATATATATATATATATATATATATATATATATATATATATATATATATATATATATATATATATATATATATATATATATATATATATATATATATACGGTGTATATATATATATATATATAATATATATATATATATATATATATATATATATATATATATATATATATATATATATATATATATATATATATATGTTATATTTATTAGAACAGTGATACATGTATCATTCGATACATGTATCACTGTTCTACCTAATCTATGTTAAAAAGAAGGTAAAACAACAGATTAAAGGTTAAAACATCAAATAATGTATAAAATTTTAAAGTTCTGTTCTTTTTTATTTAATTTTTCTTCCAGAATAACCATTGTTTCTATAACATACATATGAGCTTTTTTTGCACCACTAGCAGCTTTTAAAAAAAGTGCTTCTGAATTGTGTCGTATTGTTTTTTCTTGTTTTCCCAGATAAAAACATAAAAGACTTTTCGAGCATCCATAACTTTATTTTCTTTTTAATCTGCTAATTCAAACTTTTGTTGACTACGTGCTTTTGTAACAGATTCTCTTAGTTCCTTAGATATAATTTATTAGATAAATAATTAACTAAATAATTCTGAGTTCAAATCATGAGCTTTTAATCATATACAATTCTCTAGTTTATTAATGATTTATTTATTAGATTAGGTTGTAACATGTTCTTGTTGGTGTATAATCCTCTTTCAACTGCCGCTTGACCATGAAAAAGAATTAATACCATCTTGATTAATTTAGACAATGCGGAATAATCATGTTAACTTCCAAATTTTGAAAAGAAAAACTCATCTAATCTATCATATATTTTGTTGAACATTAAAAAAAGTTCTATGTTTTTAGAGACAATCTGTTCCAAGAATAGCTTGAATTCTGCATTTACCTTATCACAGCTCTTGAGGAAAACCAATGCAATTGAATAAAATTATCAACCAAACCCTTTATTCTTTCATTTTCCAATTTTTCTTTTAATATAATTTCTGGGTTTAAGCACTTTACATTTGGCAAATTGGCATATTTTAAAGAAGATTTTTCTTCAAATTTAAATGTCAATGATGGCAGAAAATGTATAAAATAAGTAATATCTTTTTAAGTGAATTCATAATTTGTTTTTTTATCCTTTATGACAGTGGTGGCTCTGCGTTCATTTTTTAGGTGAAATCCAATTTGCACAGGCTGCTTGCAGTTTTACATTGATCTAAAACATCAGCTTTAATGAATTTTGACGTTCTTTCAAAAGTTGATTAAGATTGTCATACAAAAAATGGCAATATAGGTTTAGGATTTTGATAAATGGTTAAAAATATTTCAAACATGAGCTAAAAAATGAAATTAAAAAACCAAAATTTAAAAACCCTTAGTAGCAGATAAAATAATTTGATAGCTCTTGCACAAAGGCTGCTTACTGTTTGGTAGAGATTGCCAAAACCTACATATTTTACAAATGTTCTCCCAAATGTTAAAAGATCTTAGGGCCACTTTTTTATCCTCAAACCATTGTGTATCACAAAAAGGAAGAAGGAAGTGATTACTTCCATTCACTTTAACAAATCATAAAGAATTTGATAAAAAGATTTCAGTTTAATGATGATATGTTTAAAAGTTTTTTAAACATATACATCTTTTGAACATTGTTTCCAAATTCCATTTGGAGACTCATTTTTGCTTTTTGTTTTACCATAAAGACATTTAAGAAAAATTTTTATCACTTATACTGACTTTACAACAGATAGTCTTGCCTTATGGTAAGTTGCTATACTGTCTATTTTGTCTGACTGTTATTTACATCACCAATAAGAGTGGCTCTACAGAATCAGCATGAGCGAATTTTACTACTTTAATAGCTCATTTTAACTGCTAACCATCAAAGCATATAAAATTTGTCAAAGACTTTTAAGTTGACAAAACAAAATACTTTTTGTTGCTGATCATTTTAACAATGAAGTATAAAAAAATACTTATTATATTTTATTAATTTACACGTGTAATAAAAACAGAAAAAAAATAGACGTAAAATCTATTATATGAATAAGATAAAAAGCCAATATCCCTGATTTGAGAAAGAGAGAGAGATTTTTATAATTAGTATTTAAAAATCCTTTGAAGTTTTGTTTTACTTTTAAAAAAACTGTCATCAAGTATAGTCATAGGAACTTTACCTTATGATTATACACAGTACTGTATCATAAGGTAAATACTATACACAGTATTATAATGATTATACACAATATAATCATAAGGTATGTATACATAAGGTAATAATGTAAGGTAGATTATGATTATACAAAGTATAATCATGTATCTATGAAACCTTAAGCACTGAGTATCGAAAAAACAACTTTTTTTTTTAATACTAATATACTTGATGAATTAATAAGTTTCAGTAATAAGAATATTATTATTTTAATTTAACTTTAAACTTTTTTACTTTATAAAAACAAAAACAACATGTAAAAAAACTTACATGTACAACCAACTTGATGAGTTGCATTCGTCAGCAGAATACAAGGAGAATAACTTTTAATGGATTTATATATTTTAAATTCAATTTTAGATGATGAAACTAAAAATAATAATAATAATTGTACAAATAAAAGGCTAATAGTTCAATCAATTTAAATAATAATAAATTATTATTTAAATTGATTAAATAAGTATGTTTAAATTGTTTAAACCAAAAAAATGCTTATTTAAAAAAAAAGTTTAAAAAAAAAACTTGAATATATTTTAAAAAAAATTTTTAGGAATCATTTTTTTTTTTAAATAAATTTTTTTATGGTTTTAACTCTTGAAACTTTTTACTTCTCCATAATTAAATAATAAAATAATTTATCAATTAATATATTTATTATTTTAAATAAGAGAATAGAAACCCAAATAATATTTTTTAAGAATCCACTAAAAAAACTTTATTTTAGAAAAAATTAAATCTTTACTTTTAATAAAAAAAAGTCTTTTTTTTTACGAAAGAAATTTATAATTTATAATACTCATATATAAAAAAAAAATTCTGACTAAAATTAGAAAAAAAAAAATTATGACCACAAACTATGTTTATTTGGCCGGTCAAAAATATCCAGCATTTCTTCATGTTCTATATTTTTGCTCTAAAAACTCAAAACTATTTTTATTCAAAAAAAAAACATTTAGTTGCTATCTTAATAATTTTAGTTCCTCCTTCATACCCTCCATCATATCCTCCATCAAAAGGATGCAGTTTTGAGGACATATTGCTTGTTCAGAGCATGGTGACATCATTTTATCTTGGGAAGCACAACCAATCAAACTTTTGGTTAAAGTATTTTTATCTAAGAGACACCTGAGTTATTAGGATTAAACTTAGATTTTATAGTTTCGGTTTTTCAAACTGAAATTTAATTACTTGATTATATATATATAACTTATAATAATAATTATATAATAATATTAAAAACAATAACTTATAATAATAATTATATAATAATATTAAAAACAATAACTTGGTTATTAGTTTCTTAATCTTTTAAAATTTTTTTAGAATGAATAGTTCGAAAAATAAAGATTGTTTTTTGTTTGTGACAGACGTGAGTTATATTCAATTGCAAGTGTCATTCTATTTAAATATACTCAAAAATTATACTATGTTAGTGCATTTTAAGTTGATTTTTTTTTGCCTAAACTAGTATATATTTTTTTAATATAAACTTAGAACCAATTCCAAATTATTATTTAGATCTTTTAAAGTTCACAGGAAGAAAAAAAAGGGGCACAAATACATACATACATACATACATACATACATACATACATACATACATACATACATACATACATACATACATACATACATACATACATACATACATATGTAGTGATGCTATTTTGTACATATACTAGCAAGAAAGTGCTTGATGAACTAAGTCGGAGCTATATTATAGTAGAAAATAAAACTACATGATTTTTACAACTTTAAGTTTCAGGTATTTCATCTGATGATTGCAACAGCATGAAACATAAAGTTGTGAAAATTACATAGTATATATATATATATATATATATATATATATATATATATATATATATATATATATATATATATATACATACATATATATCCGTGTATATTTATATGTATGTATGTATGCATATATATATACATATACATATATATTTATATACACACATTTATATATATATATATATATATATATATATATATATATATATATATATATATATATATGTGTGTATATATATATATATATATATATATATATATATATATATATATATATATATATATATATATATATATATATATATATGTTTGTATATAATATAAATTAATTACCATAATTATTTAAACAAATAAGCAAAACCAACACCATAGAAGAAGCAGCCATTCTTCGGGTATTTTTTTCTTATTACACAAAACTTCTAAAGAAAACTGTTTTTTTTTTAATGTTTCTTACAGGTTATGTTGCAATATGTTGCAACATAACCTGTACACCATAAAATTAAAGATTTATATATATTAAATGTAAAAGTATATATCAAAATAAATAAATATATATCAAAATAAATGAATATATATGCATGAATGTATACATACATTCATGCATATATACACCATTGGCCATAAATTAGAGCTCACTTTTTTTTTATAAAACATAACTTTAAAATAAAATTAATTGAAAATAAAAATTATTTTTTATTTTTTAATATTATAAGTAAAATCTATATACATTATGGAAATCCAAAAAGCTAAATATAAACATAACAGTCTTGATACTAAAAAATGGAAAATAATGAAACAGGTTATTTTTTTTTTTTTTAAAAATTGGCCAAAAGTTAAGGATATATTCCAAATAAAATATAAGAACAACAATTTACAAGAGCAAAACCAAATAAAAAAAGCATTCTAATATTTTGTAGAACCTCCTTTCTCATGTAAGCATTGATTTACTCTCATTGGCATTGAGTTTACAAGATTTTGAGTTATTTTTTTAGGCACATTGTCAAGCAGTTTTCTTATTTCAGTTTTTAATTGTTCAACATTTAAAATTTGAATTTTTCCAAGATGATGATCTAACCAAGACCATAAATTTTCTATACAATTCAAGTCAGGGCTGTTAGCAGGCCAAGATATTATTGATATTTGGTTTTCTACAAACCATCGTTTGGATATTTTTGCTGTATGGCATGACGCACCATCTTGTTGATATATGATATTCCTGTTTTCTTCTTTAAATATATCAATTGAGGGAAGAAGACAATTATCTAAAATTTCAATATATATATCAGCATTAAGTCGACCTTCAAATAATCGATAGCATCCAAGTCCTGCATAATTCATGCAAGCCCAAATGCCAATACTGCCACTACCTTGCTTAGATTGTTTTAATGTACAATTTGAATCAAATCTCTCTTGAGGTGATGGCCGGAGCATAACACGGCATTTTCGCATATCTACCTCCACATTCATTTCATCGGAGAATATAACATTTTGCCACTTGCAATAAGGCCAATTTTTATGCTGATTGCACCAGGCAACCTTTGCTTTTTGTTGTTTCTTTGAAAGTCTTGGCTTCTTGCATGCAGATCGCCACATATAATTATTTCTATGAAGAATTCTTCTAACAGTTCTTGAACTCACTTTTATTCCAGATGTATTTTTTAATTTATGGCAGAGAGCGTTTGACGATAACTTTCTGTCATGTTTCATTAAACGAATTAACAAACGTTCATCTCTTTGTGTTGTTACAGCTGGGCGACCAGATCGGCGTCGGTCCTTAATGTCACCTGTTACACTAAAGCGTTTTAAAATACGTGCAACAATCGAATATGCAATATTTAACTCATTTGCTATCTTGCGATGAGATTGGTTTCAAAGAAAAATTGATTCATAACGTGTTTTTTCAGAGATTCTTGATCGTGATTTTGGAGTTTTATGCTGTATTTCTTCACTCATTTTGTAACTTTTTTATTATTTAATTTATTTGTGTTTTTTTTAGTACTATTTCAAACAAAAACAAAAAAAAAATTAGAAATAATGAATGCAGATGAAAATAAAAAATAAAAATTATTAAAGAAAATCATCAATATATTACTTAAAATTTAAATATAAAGCAGTGAGCCTTAACTTTTGACCAACATAAAAAATTAAAATTATTTAGTAGTTGTTATCAAATTATATATAATTAGGCATACAAAATAAATTTTAAGGAAACAACATGTCAAATAAACAGTAAACATAATACTTATTAATTAGTACTAATAAATTTTTGAAAAAATATAATAGTTTTTAAAATAATTTAAATTAAACAGGATTATAAAACAAAAACAAAAGCGAGCTCTAATTTATGGCCAATGGTGTATATATATATATATATATATATATATATATATATATATATATATATATATATATATATATATATATATATTTATATATATATATAATTTTTAAAATTTAAAACTTAAATTTTTTCTTTTTCTAAATCAAACTTAATTGATTTATTTAAAAGAATAAATAAATAAATTGAAAAAAAATCAATTTTTTAATTCAAAAGAGTAGTTAAAAAAAAAAATACAACAAAAATGAAATTAGTAAAGTACGCATAAAAAAATAATATCAAATAATAAAAAAAGCAATATCAATATAAATAAAGCACAAAAAAAAAAACATATCAAAACGAATTTCAAAAAAATTTTTAATTACAAATATTATAACCATTAAGTTTTAAATAAATGTAAATACAAAAAAAAAAAAAAAATTTTTTTCAAATAAATAACTAAATACATAATTATGTATATAAAATATAATTTAATGTTTTATTTTAAATGCTTTTTAAGGAAATATATTATATAAGGGGCAATTCTTTTATAGCCTCTATTTGAAGGATGTAAAAAATCCATCATATCTTCATGAGATATTGTAGAATCTTCACGAACAAAACCTGGATCCACATTTAAGAAGAATGCATTAGGAACAGAGTTAACAATTTTTTTAATTTCAGAATTTATTTCATTAATTTTATCACGAACCAAATTGGGTTTTTCACCACGTGGTAGTATACCCTAAATAAAAAAATATAAATTTAAAGATAATTAAATAGTTAAAATTAAAATTAAAATTGAGATAATAATTAAAACTAATAAATAAAATAGATAAAAATTTAAAATTAATTAAAAAATTATTAAATCCTTCTTACTTACTACATATTTTAGTAATATGTAGTAAGTAAGAAGGATTAGTATACTTCTTATTAAATCAATTACTTATAATTAAAAATTACTATCTAGTTTTTGTGTAAATAAGAATGAAATCATAAACCAAATAAACACATCAAACATTTAAACCAAAAAAAATATTGAATATAAAAAAAAAGAAATTGGAGTAGATAATAATAAAAATTAAAAATATTTTTAAAAATGCATCATTTTTACATACCAATACAACAGATTTGCAATTGTGACTGGTTACCTTCCAAACAATTGCCTCTAAAGCTTCCACAATCTCCTCACTTGTATTTTTGTGATTGTTTGTGCCAACCCATATCAAAACAATCTTAACCAAAAATATATTTAAAAAATTATTGTTTAAATTTTAATAACAAGTAAATTACATATTTTATGGTCATACTATAAAAGTATACTGTAAACATTTATTTTATACATATAGAGGGATAAGAGAGATAACAGAAGAGTTATCTACTGTAAACATTTATTTTATACATATAGAGGGATAAGAGAGATAACAGAAGAGTTATCTACTGTAAACATTTATTTTATACATATAGAGGGATAAGAGAGATAACAGAAGAGTTATCTACTGTAAAAATTTATTTTATACATATAGAAGGATAAGAGAGATAACAGAAGAGTTATCTACTGTAAACATTTATTTTATACATATAGAGGGATAAGAGAGATAACAGAAGAGTTATCTCAACTATGTTAACTTTCATAACTAGTAATATATTTTTCAATTATTCTGAAACCAGTCTGAAAGCAGTTTAATTGCAATTGTTAAAACTATACCTTACACTTAACATGTAACCTACCTTTGGAGAGCATGCTTCTAATAGACCATTACTTAATCTCCATAATACATTTTCTGTACAATCTCCAGGCATACCTGCATTTACAATCTTGTACTGATTTATTTCTTCCCTCCATATCTATAATATATATTCAACGTATAACAAGATTATACAATTAGTAACCAAAGTAACCAAGTAACCGTAGTAACCAAGTTAGATTTAATTTTTCCTGCATCTGGGGCAGGGGTCAGGATCAGTTTATTGAGAAGAAACTTAAAATCTATAACTAAAATTATCATCATATGAAAACTTATTCTATTTTTAAATATTTAGTAGCCCTAGTATTTACAACTAAACATTTTTTTTACAACTTTAAAAACCGAGAAATAAAATTTGAGATTTTCATTATGGATATTTTTTGTTTAATTTAAATTTAGTAATTTATTATTGTTACATAATTTAGATGATTGACAAATATAAAAATGAATATAAAATATAAATATTAAAAATATAAAAAGTATATAAATATGTAAAAAGTAAATTTCTAACACCAAACTATTATACTTTCTACATATTGAAAACACCATTACAAAAAGAAATGTAAAGCTAATTACACAGTGTGACCAATGTCACTAACCTGACTATCTTGAAATCTATGAACAATAGAATCTCCAATAAATAAAACATCTGGTTTGATAACTTGACAATCTTTAATATGATAACTATGCTATAAATATGCAAAAAGTAAAAATTTATAAGAAATCATAATATTTTATAATAAATTATGAGCATTACCTGTTTATTTTAGAAATAAAAATATGCATAAAATAAAATAACATCAGCATTATTAAAGATATAAAAATAAGTAGTAAAAACTTAAAAGAAAGGAAACCTGAGAACTCTGTAGCACAAAAGGTTCGTCTACTAGAACTAAAGTTGTTAAAACTTTTTTTAATTTTAAAAACTTTTAAAATTAAACTATATAACTTTTATAATTTAATATTTAATAATTTTTATTTTTATAAGTTTAGTTAAATCTCAAATTTTTGATCTAAAATTTTTAAATTTTTATTAGAAGTAATTAATAAAATTTATATTAGATAAATAAAAAAAAGTTACATCAACTCAAATTTAATAAAGAAACTTTGCATTTTGTGCAAATAGTAATAAGGGTCTGGACCTCATTAACATTTAATGTTTTTATTTTTATGTTTATATTTAATGAACCTTTGATGTGTTAAATTCTTCATTATTATTATGTTATTATTTGTTATTTAAACTTTTCTTTATCCAATTTTATATAAAAACACTTTTATATGAACTTTAAATTAAAAAATCTTATTTAAAGTAAAACTGTTTCATTTCTTTAAGATTAACAAAAATAACATTTTTGTAATGAATTTTTATGTTTATAAAATTTTTATTATTTAATTACATAATTTGTTATATGATTTAATTTTTTTTTATTAATTTACTTAACTAAAATATTAATATAGTAGTGGTAGACTTAGTTAATAAGAAAGAGGTATGGTATAGAGATTTAGTTAAAACCCACCACATCCCTGGTCACACAGCAAGTAGTTGGTTTGTTCGTAAAGATATTTGTTTTGGCTGTAACAACAAGACAATTTCTCAACCACAGTTGCTCTATTGGACTCGAGAGTTGATAAAGTAAATAATAAAACAAAAACAAACAAAAAAATTTTGGAATACCAAGCTCATCCATCGATTGTCTTTCACAACATCTTCTATAGGAGAGGCTTCTAAAGCACTATTTTTCATCCCTAAACAATAACTTTTTAATACTAACTGTTTTCTTTGTCTTGGTCTATTAAGTAAATATATATATATATATATATATATATATATATATATATATATATATATATATATATATATATATATATATATATATATATATATATATATATATATAAAGTAACAGTAAGTGTTACTTTCAAAAAAATCTGCAACTTCATAATTTTCTTAAACTTTATTATTTGTATTTTATATACTTTTGTATTCAATGTCTATACAGTAATGATTGCAGTTTCCAAATATAACAATTTTATTAAGCATTTTCAAACTTTCAGGACTTCAAGGACAATTTTTAGAACTTCCAAGTAACAATTTTATTGATATTCATAATTGTTCAGTTAGTTCAGCCTAAGAATATATTAGTGAATGATACTGTTAGTCAATTTTGTGTTAAATTTTGGCGCCAACCAATGTTTGTTAATGATTTTATAATGTATTGTATTTAGCAAGTTTTTACTAGATTATTCAACTTATTAATTTTAAAGGATGGGTAAATCCTGAGGCTTGATTTCTCAAACAACACAAATTGTTACACAATTTTTCCAGGAAGTATGGTTGGTCAACCAATTAACCAATACCAACCAATTAACCTTATACTACATGTGAACAAGTTCTTAGGCTTTGGACAAGGTCTCTTATTTGTCTGAATGTAAAAAAATAACTCTTAGCTTAACTGTAGAAGATAAATAACTAAAATAAAAACACAACAAACAGACAAAAAGAATTAGAAAACAAGTTTTTATAATTAATAATAAATAAATCAATGATCAGCATATTCATAAGGTCTTGTGCAACTGGTTGGTATAGTTGATGAAAATAATTGAAAGAACTTTCACTTTCTTTACACAAAATTGAACGTGACCGCCCCAGAATGTTTTTTAGAAGATAGTTAGAGAGGTAAATGTTATTCAGAGGAATAATATAAAATATACAACATTGGAAGAAAAATATAAACAATATTATTTTTAAAACAGAACATAAAAACAAATAAAATTGACATAGATCATATATATATATATATATATATATATATATATATATATATATATATATATATATATATATATATATATATATATATATATATATATATATATATATATATATATATATATATATATATATATATATATATATATACATATATATCATATCATAAAACAAAACTACTTAATTTTTTCTAGATAAATAATTTCAAAAACACTATCAAAGAAATCAAATGAATCAAACATAAGACTATAGATTAAACATATAGATTAAAATAATTTTTCTTTTAAACTTTCAAAATTAAATATTTTTCTATTTAACTAAACTAATACAAAAATAAAAGTCAAAATCTTAAATTTCAACTTTCTTTTAAATATTATAAATATATATATATATATATATATATATATATATATATATATATATATATATATATATATATATATATATATATATATATATATATATATATAAAATAAAGAGTCCCTTATTTTATTGTTGATGATTATTGCCATCGATCAAAATCCCATCGCCATTGATAGATTTAGTGTTTTAGTGATTTATTGAAGGATTAGATCTAGGTGACAACCATCAGTGATAGATACCATCAGTAGATCCTTAAAAACCAATATATAAATAAAAAAATATGAAAAAAAAACTATACATTATTTATTTATGTTTCAAGAAAAACTTTATAAGTATTAAAAATATATTTTGGAACCATACTTCATCATAATATTTATTTTAGTTAAAAAATTTCATTTTCAAGCATCGAATGAAACGTTTTTGAAATGAATAAACTTTTGAACATCGTAACAAAATTATCTCTTAAATAGCAAAGAAACAACATTCTCATTTTTCTCATTCATGCAGTAATCAATTTAATCATTTTTTTTTTCATTTCCTCTGTACTCCCCTGACCATGCTGTTTTAAATGATGTTCCATACAGTCAAGATGATATAATTTCTTTTCACAAATGGGACAAGTATGCTCACCACTACTATCTTTTACATGCTTCTTAAAATGACGACTGCAATTGCTTTGTTGGGCTATCATTGATCCACAAACCTTACATCTCAAAAAAAAATTTTTTTAAAGATTAGAATATGATAAAACAAAAAAAAATTCATAACCATAAATACAAAAAAGCAATAAATATAATGAAATAATAACTATTAAGAAATCTTACTTAAATGACTGGCTGACTCTTTTACCATCTACGTAGTTTTCTAGCGTTTCAAAGTATGACTTCCAGTCACTTGATGATAATTGTTTAGCTGGTGCTCCTTCTTCTTTGCATTCAAAATTTTTGAAACCCTATTAGAATTCAATTTAAAAAGCATATTATGCAAAAAATAAAACAACCTCTAAATATTAATAACTTAAATTAAAAAAAATATTAATGTTTATACAGATGTGTGTAAATAGGAATGGTAGATATTATAGTTTATTGTTGTATAATGGTCTCTAAAAAATAATTTTGAAAGCACCCAGCACCCAAAATTATTTTTTTTTAAACTTGTAAATGGTTTTCACTTGATGAAATAATGCTGATAACTCATATTTTAAACACTAAAATCAAATACTGCTTAATCCTCAAAATAAAGGTCTGGAAAAATATGATGTAAATATAATATTTTTATCAAAATAAACATTACGCACAAATTCTCAGAAACATAACAGGCACTCTTTTTGAAATAAGCAAAATGAAGGTGTTGATTTTTTAAATTGCTATTAAACATAATTAAAATATTATGAAATAAAACTTAAACAAAAATAACTAATTATTAAACTGTTTCAAATAATCAAACATAGATGTAATAAGTAGCAAGGTCGCACAGGGGGAGCCACTGGGTACATTTTACCTAAATCGCACAGACAAAGTGAGCACATGCAATCGTCAAAAAAAGATTTTATTAAAATTTTTAATAATCATAAAGAGCACTACTCTTTCGAGAAATTAAAAATTAAAAAAAAAAATTTAATAATTTTAGAAATTTAAAAGAATCTTATTACAAGACGCTTATTACAATTAGAGTTTATAACAACAGACTTGCAATAAATATAATTCTAATTTAAAAGAAAAAATAAAATAAATGTTGTTATTGTCACTAAATGAATATATCTTATTCATTAACAGTATTATATAAATATAACATATTAACAGTAATATATAAAATGTGTATGCATTAATATATATGTATGCTTATATTTTATCTTAAATCAGTAGAAATATACTGTAGTTTCATGTTTTTTTAAAGACATTTACATTTTGCTAAATTTATATTTATTTTAAAACAGATTATGTATATATTTGTAAAAGGTGCTAGACAGTGATAAGACAGTTTATGTCTTTTTCTTTCCCGCCTTTATATATATATAATTTATATATGTAGTATGTTTTTATTACAAATTTATCAAATGGTAAACTTTTAAACAGGCAAATTATCAAACAACAACAACAACAACAACAACAACAAAAAGAAGGAAGATTTGCATAATTTTAGGCAAAAAATAGAAAAATTTTTTTTAAGATTTTTTTAAGCTTTTTAAAATTTTATAAGTTAAAATGTTTTAAGTTAAGATATTTCTTGATTTCTATAATTATTATTCAGTGCAACTTTTAACTGACAAAACAAGATTAATTAAAGATATAATATAATATATTTATTATCAACAAATAAGAAAAAATAAATATATTTATATGTAACTGATTTAATAAAAGTTAGAAATATATTTATATTTTTAAGCATTATTAAGTACAGGATTACTATTGGTACACCAAAGTAATGTCAATCAGTGTTTTTTAAAAAGACCAATTACCTCAAAACTTATAAAACAAATTTGCATTTTTAAAAAACACTGATTCATTTGATGTGTCAATTTTTTTAAACTTTTTTACTTTCATCTATTTCTTTTGATTTTAAACCCATTTCAAGTTGATTTGACTTAATCACATGATTTGACTTAATCACATGATTTGACTCAAATACTGAACTTGACTTAAACAAATATGTTGATTCAAACACTCCAATTGACACAAATTAATATAGATAAAAACCAGAAATAAATAATAACCTACAGCATTTTCTTCCTGTGTTATCATGCCAAACACTTGTTTAGCAGGATTGATACCAAATGTCTCAGACATTCCAAGTTTCCTTTTGGAGTTTAAAATATAAGAATTACTGTCACATCTTACTGGAGATATAATGGGTTCATTGTTGATTTCTTCATTTTTTATATTTACTTTCCATGGTGGAGTAGCCTAATTCAAAAAAAAACTTTTAAAAATAAAGCTTTTTTATATTGGCATCTAATTTGTAAGTTATTGAGAAAAACTTGCATATAAAAATATATATATATATATATATATATATATATATATATATATATATATATATATATATATATATATATATATATATATATATATATATATATATATATATATATATATATATATATATACTAATGCATTGTTATTTTAAAAAATTAACATAAACATTAAATTGGACTTAACCCCATAAAATTAAATAATAGAAAAATAAAAAATTAAATAACAAAAGTAGAAAAAGTAAGTTTTGCATAAGTTTTATTATTTTTTTTATATTTGAAACAATTATTTTAATAAAGTTCATTTACAATCATATCTTTAAGTTTATTTTACAGAGAGGTTAATGCGAGCAATTCCAGATTGAAGACCCTGTGATTAAATCGCAGTCAAGTCAAAATTTACTTTTTATTTAAAAACAAAATTGCTTTAATGATGAATCAAATAAAAATTAACTTTACTTGGGTAGACGTTTTTTTAGGCACCCCTCCTCTTTTTGTTTAGGCAACCCTAAGTTTGTAAAAAACGAGTCTTACACGAGATGAGTAACATTGAAAACAAAGCCTGAAACCTGTTTTTTAAGGACTCAATAGAAAAATTGCCTGAAAATTATTCATGCCAGTGTATAAAAGGTGGCAAGTGTGTGCATAGAGGGACACTATAACCCTCTTTCCTATACCATACATCCTTTAATATTGGCAAACTAGGATCTTTAGTCAGAAAATTAACTTTTCTATTGGTTAGCTGGCAAATTTAAACATCGATGATGCAGTATGTTTTTATTTCTTTTTTAAAGTTGTTATTTATTCATAAAATATTTAGCAATTAACAATTAACATACTAACTAATTTTCTAATTGAAAACTTGTTAATTGTGATCAATTAGAAAAACAACCATTACCAAGGAATTATTTTTTTTATTTTTTTAAGTGCGTATTTTTTACATTGAATTTTCTCATTCCTCCTCATATGCTTTTGTTTTTTTAAAAAATTTTTTATGCTAGTAGAAAACCGCTCCCCTCATAAGCATATGTACTTTATAGATGGACCCTTATCATGCTGTAATGAATGTCTTCATATTATTATGTTGCATCGCTACTCTAGCCTGATGGTTCTCTTAGTACAGATGATAGTGAAAAATCACATCTTCTGAATAATTTTTTCGGCTCTGTTTTTAATACAGATAATGGTGTTGCACCTGCCTTAGATTTGCAGACAAACCTAAATTCCAGTGTTAGCAAAAAAACCCAACCCAAAAAAAATCACTTTGAAAAAAAAAAAAAAAAAAAAAAACTTATTTTACAAGAAATCTGATTTTAACTTTAATATCAACAAATTGCAAATTTTCTATTGAAATATTCTTGTCACTGTTTCAACGTACAGAATAATCCAAAATCTGATTAATTATTTCTTTTAGCAATTTTGTAATTCATTAATTTTCAAACCATTAGAAAGTTAAATATTAAAAAATGTTATAATATGTATTAAAATATTAGAGTGAATTAGTTAAATATTTATTAAGGAAAATAAAATCACTCTATCAACTCAATTTTAAAGAACAGGTGATTACTAGTTATTTTATATCTTTCCTCGCCTTCCAAATGCCTATATGTCTGAACAAGTGTTTTAGATCTGTCATTTTATATTGGTATTTGATCTTTATTTTGTAAAGTTTATGTTATAACTACATAAACTACATGGCCACCAGCATAACATTATATAAAAATTATCAATCTTTATTCAGAGTCTGGAAGTGGATTTATTCAGTCTGGAAGCGGATATTAGTTGCAACTTTACAAAATGTACCATAAACTACATGACTATGAACAGCGAAGTGAAATGAAGATCACAACCAAATTTACTAAAAGACAAAGAAACACACACAATAGAGCTATATATTGTGTTATTTTGATTCAGTTGTTTTAAATATAATATATAGAAGCTAATTTAGTTAATTACCTTTTTCAGTTTTTCTCTATCAAATATAAACAGCAGGAGTTAAGGCAGTTTGACTTATTAAGCTATCTTTAGATTCACATAAGCAGACCTAGAAACAGCTGTAATCAAAGTGAAAAAACATAGATTTACCATAAAGAAGGCTGCTAAAACTTGGGAATCAAAAATGCATGATGGACAAACCAGACTTGATAATTCAACAGAATATTTGTTCAAACTTACTTATACAGACAGAAGAAACTTTCAGGAAAAAATAAAGAACCTTGTGGTAGAGACACCATAATGGTTCTTAACGAATCTGTTTTAAATATTCTTAAGAACAACCTAGACATAGGTACAAATTTACTTGCAAAACCAACCTATCCATAATCTAAAATATAAAAACATTATGTGTTCAATGTCACCCCAAATTGGCTAATCATTCTCACCTCACCTTTAAAAATGCAATTATGATGATACAAAACTAGAAAATTAGGATATTTACTGCATAGTGTTAATCAGGAGTTTTCAGTAAGCTGGATAGTATAATGTTCTGTTAAAAAAAAGGTAGCAATTAGGCTAACAGTTTTCTTCTATGATGCAAAAATATTTAAAAAGTGTTCATAAGGATAATTTGCAACATGTTGCAAATTTGTAGATTACATGTTGTATACTTGTGCAAATTAAAAAATTAAAAAAATAAAAAAAAAACTAGTTTATGAAGTAACATATTGAACATAGCATAAAATAAGTTTGCAACATTTATATTGTTTTACCAACATTGCATAACTCATAACTCATAACACTTATATGTGGTGGTAGATTAGTTGCTAAACATTTGGATCGCAATCAAGAGGTTGAGATTCAAATCTATCCTTCGCCCTCTGAAATTACTGTGCTCAATCTGTTTCTCTGCACAACCCCCTTGTTTAAAAGTGTTAGTGTTTGAGTGAGGAATTGAGAGAGAATATTTTTAAAAAATAAGTAGCTTCCATGACTGTAGTAGTCATTGGAGCAATCAGGAGGTGAATATATAAAATTTTAAATTACAGTACACATACAATACTTTTTGAATTTTGATCAGTTTTTAAAAAAACCATAAAAAACCATTAAACCTAATAAAACCCATTTGGTTAAGTTTTTTTTTAAAAACCCTGGGTTTTTTCTAACCCTGCCAAATTCTTTAAATAATGTAATGTTTTTTTACAATTCTTTTGTGTCAACTCTCCAAAAGGTTCTATTAAAGTCTTCTAAATTATCTGATGGATACCCAGTACAATTTTTTCTTTTTCCATTCTGTTTGAATTGTTGATGTCGAAAACAATGTCATACCTGCAAACTGGAAAACCACTATAATATGGGCATATTATAGTGGTTTTCCATCTTTAAGCTTGAAAACCCATTTTTCTAACTATAGACCAATTTCTATGCCATGCATTGCTTTTAAAGTTTTGGTGTCAATCATTGCAGAATGTCTTTCAAATTACTGATTAATTAATAAATATGTTTTTCTTCATTAATGCAGCTATTTAAAGCGTGGATCCACCTGTACACAAATGCTGACAACCTTAAATGAGTGGATTACTGCTGCCAATAACAAAACAATTGTTGGTTTGTAAATTATATTTATACACTTCCTTTAATTCTGTAACTTACTCTAAGTGTAACTTTAAATGTAACTCTATGTGTAACTCTAAGTTAAGTTGCCAAATATCTGATCATTCTAAAGATTTTTTCAAGGTAATAAATGTTGTGTGCTGTTTCAATCATCACTTGCATGATACAGCTTGCTGTCATCACTACCACTATTGATTAATTTTAAACTATTAATACTTAATATTAAACTGCTTTTTTTGAGCAAGTAAATAAATTAAATTTTTTGAAAACTTCAACATGTTCCAATTATTTAATCATTTAAAAAACGTTTGAATAAAAATAAATAGAACTCTTAAAACAAACAACTCACAAATAAACAAAAACAACTAAAAATTAAAAAAAGGTCAGAAGAAAACAAGTAATTAAAAAAAAAAATTTTAGGAAATAATTTTTTATTTTCTTACATGAGCACCCAATATACTTTGTAATTAGAAAAAGAACACAAAATTTAGAGAATAATCATGTATTATATGCATCATAAGAAAAAGAACACAAAGATGAGAGAATAATCATGTAATACTTGCATCATAAGAGAAAGAACACAAAGATTAGAGAATAATTATGTACTACTTGCATCAAAAGAGAAAGAACACAAAGATTATAACTTGAAAAACTATTTATAAATAAAAAAAAAAAATTACTTAATTGTATTATTTATACTATTTTATACTTAAATGCGGTAGTAGTGAAGTGGTAGAGTGCTAGCTTCATAAGCGACAATTTCTGAATTCGATTCTCACTATGTTTCTGGTAGTACCGCACTCAACAAGTTGAGGGCAACAGCAGCTTTGTTTTTCAAGGTTTGTGTTTTAGAAGGATATAATATTAAAAAAATATATATACTTTAGAATTAAGCTATACTTTTTTTAATTTTTTGGTTATTACAAATATTTGGTAATGTTTTTTAAAAGATATTCTTTGTTGGAAGGGAAACATTTTACTGATTTACAACAAAACAATAAACAAATGTAAAAATTTGAGTAAAAAAAATGTCAAAAAAAAAAGTAATAACTTACTTTAATATCACTTTTAGTGTCTAATATTTGAATACTTGATACATCTGGTTTTTTATAATCTTCATCATCGCTATCAATTATGACTGTTGGATTACCACCAGGAGATAAACCAAACATATTCGGTTGCTGATTGATCATAAAAGACTGTGCTGATTGAAGAAAGTTTGGAGACATGTGTTGCTTAGGAGACATGTGTTGAGTTGGAGTCATAGCTTTTACTTTTTGTGTTGGAGTTATTTGTTGTTTAAGTGATGTTTTCTTGATTTGGTTTGGAGTTTTTGGTGTTGCTTTCTTTTGGATATTTATTACCTGTTTTTTGGGTGTGAATTCTTGAGGTTGGTCATGCTGTGCATGAGAATTTACTGGAATTTCAATTGGCGGTCCCTAATAATGCAAAAATATTATTTATCACCATTATTAGTTTAAAGTATTAAACTTAATTGAATTTTCTAAAAACTTTATCAATTCTAAAAATATTTTATTTTTAAATATTAAAAATTCTAAAAATATTTTATTTTTATTAGTTTTAGCAATGTAAAAAGTCTAAAAAAAATAAAAATTTTTGAAATTTTACATAAAAAAAATCCACCATGCTTATTTTAATTTTGCCACGTAAACTATGAAAAGAAAAAAGAAACAGAATGCCAGCAAGTTGCCCATGGTAGGTAAGCAAGTGGTGGGAAAATCAACATTTATCAACAAAAAGACAACAAAATCATTAGTCAACTCATTACTTTATTTATTTACTATTAACTTATTACTTACTACCAACTTATTAATTATTTCTCTAGATTATTTTATTACTTACTACCAACTTATTACTTATTCCTCTAGATAAAGATAAATTAAAAGATTGCTAAAACTAATAATAAAAAATAATTGGCACATTTTAGAAGAAAATAAAACTTAGATTAAAAAAAATTAAACTTGATGTTTTCAGGTTTCAATATTATATTATAATATTGAAACCTGAATTATTAAATACTATTTTCATTACTTAGTTGTTATTTTTGGCAAAAAAATTCAGTAAGTCAAAGCAAAAAAAAAAAAAAATGTTTTTGGAAAACCATTCTTTTAATGATTTCAACATTAAAAAGAAAGGTTTTCCTGCATTTTATTTTATTTGTTTTAAAAGGAAAGCAAAAATATTAATTGGAAAATTAATTTTACAGTTTTGTAAAATTTATATCTATAACTTTAATGTAACAAGTATATAACAAGGGTTGAATTAAGCAATTGCGATTTGCAAACTCTGGAAATTATCTGATCTTCATAATTTAAGTTAACGCGCATTTTTACGGACCATTAGTAACGTATTTCATAATGCTTAACTCTTTATACAGTACATTTTTATAAAGTTTCTTAAATTCCTTAAGTTTTAAATATTATTTGAACACATACTCTATTTACTGATGCTTTTCTACTTATTAAAACTTGGGATTACTTATGTTGTTTGAACGAAGAATGAATTATAAAAGTTATAAGTGCGTTATAAAAGTAATAACACTATTATAGTGTTATTACTTTTATAATGCAGTTACTAAAGTGTTATTACTTTTGTAGTTGTAAGTTGATTGTTTTATTTTTTATAACTTTTTCTTAAAATCATTTTTTTTATTGTAGACTTAAAACTGTTGTTTGTTTTTTTTGCTTCGCCTTATATATTTTTGTAGCTGAATGTAACGACCACTTTAAAGAAACAAAAATAAAAACAGTACACAAATTATTTAAATGATTAATTTCTTTTTAATTTTTTTTATTCCCTATATTGTTAGTTTTGTTTTTTGTTTTTGAAATTATTTCCACAATAAATAATATAATGAAACCTGCAAACAGGGATGACCAAGTTGTCTAAAATAAAGTATTTGTGACAAGACAGAAAATCGCACGCATTTTCTGGGAAGGCTTAAATTGTGATAAAATGCTCAGAAAAACCTCTTCCACTTTTTTAAAAGCACAAACAACTAACTTTTGACATCAATCAGATCATACATTAATCACTCTTCTAAAAAAGAGTCACTGTTGTTACAAAGGATGATAAAAAAATAGATTCACCATTGTGTTGAGCAGTTAGCCATTGAGTCTTATTGGGTAATCATGAAAATAATCATGTAATCGTGTAACTTAATCATTTAATGATGTAAGAAATGCTAAGAAAAACTTAATAGGCTATCATGTAGGAAATACTAAAAAAAACTTAATAGGTTATCATGTAAGGAATACTAAAAAAAACTTAATAGGCTATCATGTAGGGAATACTAAAAAAAACTTAATAGGTTATCATGTAAAGAGTACTAAAAAAAACTTAATTGGTAATCATGTAAAGAATACAAAGAAAAACTAAATAGGTTATCATGTAAGGAATACTAATAAAAAGAAGCAAATGTGCAAATAGTGTTAAAAAATTCTAAGTTAAAAAGTTCTAGTATTGAAAAATTCTATACAAATTCATTAATTTATATATTAATGCTAAAAAGTGATACAAAGTTAAATTTTGGATATGATGGCGGGTAAAATTAAATTCCTTACAATTTATGTCATGATAAAATGGAAACCAATTAGAGTGATATAAAACTTTATAAATTTTCTTTATTACTAATATTATACTTAATAAAGTTTTATATAAACTGTTTTAAAAAAATAAGTGTCCCTCATAAAAATCATTTTAATTTTTAAATATCTAATCTTTAAATATCTAATAATAATTACTTTAAATATTAATAATTACTTTAAATATTAAAAGAGTATAGAGTCTTTAAAGAGTAACATAATTAAAGTAAGAATATATTTATGTTTTTTTTATATAAAATTAACATAAATCTACATACTTTTATATCACATTTATAAATTGCATTTTACACAGAAAATCTTTGTTTATACAGTATAAATATTAACAATATTAATAGAATAGAATTGTCTTATATAAAAATAGAAAAGTCTTAAACTTTTAAAATTTTAACTTTTTTTATATCTGTTAATCATTTTATTAATGCAACTAAATATTTCGATGATCTCTTGTTTTTACCCAAACTCTTTGCTCAAATTATTTGCAGTTAAAATTGTTTGCTACCATACATTTTTACCACTATTGTGTAAATTATCACCAAAACTCAGAAATCAGAATCAGAAAAAATATTTAAAACCATTATAAAAACATATTTAAAACCATTATGTTTAAATCCATTATAAAACCATGAAATATAATGATTATAGTTTACTATCTAAGACTGAAATCATTATATCAGAAATATAATTGAAGAGCATGCAAAACCAGACAAATCCAATGTTTACCATTAACAAGATGAGTACTGTGTATAGCAGACAATGATTGTCATTGGCTTATGAATGATATTTAAGCAAAAGCAGGCAATCTTACTGTAACTACATAGACAAGTAATTTTGTGAAAATTAGACAATTCCTGTTTAGCATTTCATGCAAAATCAAACAAATCCAGCAACCAATCATATTAATCAAAACAAAATATGTGATTTACAAAAAATGAAAATTTTTATAAAAACGATAATGGCTACTAGCTGCATTTTGTTTTAAATTGTTACAAAGATGTAGACAATTTAAAGTTTGTTGGAGAATGCAGTATTGAAGTAGCGGTTCTAGAGAGCGAAAGATTATTAAAACAAAGTGATCAGTTGCATAGGAAAAAAGATAATTTGGCTAGTCTTATGTTAATTTTGTTTTAATTCAAATTGTGACTATTGAGTGTGATTGAAAAAATGGAGTCTAGGTGTCAGTAGGTCCATAGCATCTACTCCCTCCATTCCTTAGGAATGGTTCAGCAATGACTCCATGAAATAACTGTTGGTGCCAGAAGCTAGATTAAAGATGTGTTATTGAAATTTCCAGTAGATCATTTCTTTTTGCAAGAATATCACAAGACACACCAAACAAGTCAAATATCACTACACATGAAGTGTCCGCAAAACTTGCGGACTTTCTATGTCCGCAAAACTTGCGGACATAGAAAACCTCTTTATAGTGACGTTAGAAAAACTGAAAAAGTTTTCCAAAGTTTCTACAATACACTAAAGAATAGTAAATCTATTATTAACACAGAGAATCCTAAAAGTGACTGCAACTGCTGTACCAAAAATGACATGATGTGAGTTTAGCGACGATTGTAAAAAAAGTAGTGCGGACTTAGTGCAACAGCAATAAGCAGTTATTATGGTCAAGAGTGCACTGCAGTGAAATAAAGTTAAAGACATAGTGATATTAATAATAAACAATGCTGTGTATTCATAGTCATTATGATAATTTTCCTAATCAATGTATCTTTATCAGTTATGCTGAGAAAATGATGCAATTACCTATTTTGGTGCAAATACAGACTAATTTAAATTTTCCTTCTTCATAAAAACTTAAAACAAAGTTTTTCTAAAGAAATTTTTTTCTGTTCTGTGAACCAAGATTTTTGTTGGTTGGTCAGTATGCGATGTGACATTGAAATGTTGACAACATGACACAGATGTTAGTGACATTGAAATGTTGACAACATGACACAGATGTTAGTGACATTAAAATGTTGACAACATGACACAGATGTTAGTGACATTGAAATGTTGACAACATAACACAGATGTTAGTGACATTGAAATGTTGACAACATGATTAAAGGAATTGAAAATATCAAGATATGTTAAAATTTTTAAATATCGATTAATCTGATTTTGCATGGGAACAATTGTAATTTTCAATTGGAAACTCTTTGTTTTACAAACTAAAAGAAACAATTTGTAATTTCTTGCATAAAATAATTCAAACCATTTTGGTTGGTTGACATGTTGTGATATCAAAAGAACATTTAGCAATTAACATTTAGTATGTAACTAAGAGTTTAAAATAAAATAGAAAAAAAAAATTAAAATAACTCACACACATATAACACGGTTGTTATTGCATAGAGGCTTTAAAGTGAACATTAAGCCTACCTACTATTTGTATTAAAATTAAACAAATATAAGTTTTAAACTAGCCTCGGTCTAACCTTTAACAATTTCGTTAACATTAACAAATAGTTTAAAACTATTAATTTCAATACACAAATATAAAAAGTTCAATATTCAGGCCTTCTCGTAAGAGGCGTGCGATCGGACGCTTTATATGACCACGCATATAGTTCTTTGTTTTAACAACTTGACCACGGCTCTTTGCAAGTTTCGATAATTAGCGCGTTTAAAAAATGCGTTAAAAGAAAACCAAGCAAATGTAAATTATCAAAACTTGCAATGAGCCGTGGTCAAGTTGTTAAAACAAAGAACTATATGCGTGGTCATATAAGGCGTGCGATCGCAACCCTCTTACGAGAAGGCCTGATATTAGTAATATACAATATTAGTAAATGTTCAATATATTTATATATACACTG